TGTGTGATGTGTGTGTGTTTGTTGTTGTTGAGTGTGTGATGTACCGAAAAGTAAAAGAGATAACTGCATAAATATTTAACTGCTATTTGTAGAACATTGTGAGGGGTAACATAAAACTCTTTCTCTCTCTCTCTCTCCTCTTCTCTCCCTCTGCTCCTCCTCCTCTCGCACTCTCTCTCTCTCTCCCGCATCTCTCAGAACATGGATTGAGTTAAGAAGGAATATACTGCATGCTCCCATACATGAGTTAAAAGTTAAGAGACCAAGCCGGGAGTCACATCCAAATATATTACTACCTTCAATACCAAAGAAGACACAAGTTGCAGAACGTGTTCATGTTGGGACAATATTTCTCTCTGTGTAGATAACTCGGTGAACATCCACACACGGTGAAATATTGCTCCAGTTACAGTTTGTTTTGCAACATGTATCGTGCCTGTAGCCAGAGTGTGGCTTCTTAATTACAAGCAGACACAGGAGAGGCAGTCCTGGCTAAACCAGAGCAAAATAACTGTATTTTAACCACATCAGAGGTAAACATAGTTGATATAAGCCAAGTGAGCATGTTAGTAGAGGGGGTTTAATCTCAGGAGAATTCAACAAAGCCAAACAATGTGGCTTATTTTCGTTTGGGTCCCTTAGTCCTCTCCACCTTACGCGACCCACAACAATTGTCCAGCTCCTAGGTGCTGCTAGGTGAACAGGGAAAGAAGGTTGCTAGGAAACCTCCCAGTACATACATCTAAAGCTTCTCTCAGAGTTTAGCAAAATAAAACAGTCCTTCAGAGATATTTAAGGCAGCCTGCTACCAAATTCTCACCACTGAACACGTTCATCCAGTACAACACTTAGGCTGGCTAGGTCCTACTCACCACGCACAAAACTAACTCGTTCTATCCACCATGCCTTTTTAGATTTGTCTAGCAAGAACTCCCGCACACGCATTAATAGATTAAAACATTCTGCCCAACATACAAACCTCAACAGTTAACTCACTCACTCTATCCAGCATAGTAACTGGCCTAGCCAGAACCTAACTGACGTGAGCACTAAAGTAAAGAAGTTTTGTTGTACTAACAGGACGAGAAAACCACTCCTGACTACAAACGCTGTGGCAGACACGATTTGGACAGGATAGCGCACCTCACTTGGAACTCGACGGACTTCGGTGGAATCCAGGTGATCAGAGTGCCTTACCAGCGAGTGTGGAAGCCGGATATTATTCTCTATAACAAGTAAGAAATTTTTCCGTGTGTAAAAGTGAAAGTGAGAGAGAGAGAAGAGAGAGAGAGAGAGAGAGAGAGAGAGAGAGAGAGAGAGGAGTTACGTTAATGATTTTCATGGTTCATGTATGCGTTCAATGAGTTTTATATATCGTATAATATTATATATATATATATATATGATAAATATATATATATAATAATATAAATATATATATATAATATATATATATAATATATATATATATATATATACTGTGTGTGTGTGTGTGTATTATGTATGTATACAAAATTACATATTTGTAATAGCAAAATACACACGCATACACACACACACACACACTAAGGTTTAACCTAAATTTAATGAATAAGAGAAATTACATGAAGTTACAAATTCTCACCATGCATACTTTCAAACAGTTATTCTAAGCTAGCATTACCTCAGTACACCAAGTACATGAAGAAACATAATACATAGTTACTTGAAGCTGTCGTTACCCCCAGTACCATGGCTGTGCAGGAGCGATACCTAAATGATCACGCTGCTTTCTGACTGACCTTGAGGGATGTGTGATATATGCAGGACATAACTGTGGCTGAATGGCACTCTCTGACTCACTGCCTTACTACTGTTACTGCCTCACTAGTGCTGGTCAGTAATGTTACTGCCTCAATAGTGTTGGTCAGTAGTGTTATTGCCTCACTAGTGCTGGTCAGTAGTGCTACTGCCTCAATAGTGTTTGCTCAGTAAGTGTTTATTGCTCACTATGCTTGGTCAGTAGTGTTACTGCCTCAATAGTGTTGGTCAGTAGTGTTATTGCCTCACTAGTGCTGGTCAGTAGTGTTACTGCCTCAATAGTGTTGGCCAGTAGTGTTATTGCCTCACTAGTGTTGGTCAGTAGTGTTACTGCCTCACTAGTGTTGGTCAGTACAGTTAATCCTCCTAGGTTGGTCATTAGTGCTACGCCTCACTACTGCCTGTCAGTAGTGTTATTTGCCTCACTAGTGTTGGTCAGTAGTGCTACTACTGCCTCACTAGTCTGGTCAGTAGTGTATACTTGCCTCAGTAGTGTTGGTCAGTAGTGATACAGGCCTCACTATTGTTGGTCGTAGTGTTAGTCCTCACTAGTGTTGGTCCAGTAGAGTGCTACTGCCCAGTCAACTAGAGTTTCGGGTCAGTATGTTATTTCCTCACTAGTTTGGTCAGTATGCTACTGCCACACTAGTGCTGGCATAGTGTTCTCTGCTCACTATGGTTGGTCATGTAGTGTTACTGCCTCACAGTGTGGTCAGTAGTGATATTTGCCTCCACTATGTTGGGCAGTAGTGCACTCTGCCTCACTATGCTGGTCATAGTGTTACTACTACTGCCATCACTAGTGCTGGTCAGTATGTTAATGCCTCACTAATGTTGGTCATAGTGTTTCTTACTGCCTCAATGTGTTGGTCAGTAGTGGTTATTGCCTCACTATTGTTGATTCAGTATTGTTTCTGCCTCACTAGTGTTGGTCATATTGTTACTGCCTCACTAGATTGGCATAGTGCTACTGCCTCACTAGTGCTGGCATAATGCTACTTGCCTCACGTATGTTGGTCAGTAGTGTTATTGCCACACTAGTCTGGTCAAGTAGTGTTACTGCCTCGACTAGTGCTTGTCCAAAAGTGCTACTGCTTCACTATGTTGGTCAGTAGTATTATTGCCTCACTATGCGGTCAGCATTGTTACTCCTCACTAGGTGTTGGTCAGTAGTGCTACGCCTCACCAGTGTTGTCAGTAGTATTATTCCTCCACTAGTTGCTGGTCATTAGTGCTACTGCTTCACTAGTGCTGGTCAGTAGTGCTACTGCCTCACTCACTAGTGCTGTCATATGCTAAACTAGGCCTCACTAGTGTTGGTCAGTAGTGTACTGACCTCACTAGTGTTGGTCAGTAGTGGTATTGCCTCACTATGCTGGTCAGTTTTGCTACTGCCTCACGAGTGCTGGTCATAGTCTCTGCCTCACAGTCTGTCAGTAAGTGCACTGGCCCCACTAGTGGCTGGTCATAGTGCTACTCCGTCACTAGTGACTGGTCATAGTGCTACTGCCGTCACTATGCTGGTCAGTGTGCTACTGACCTCACTAGTGCTGGTCAAGTGTTATCTGCTCACTAGGGTTTGGTCAGTATGTTACTGCCTCACTAGTGCTGGCAGTAGTGGCTACCTGTCCTCCCTAGTGCTGTCAGTATGCAGCTGCCTACTATGTGCTGGACATAGTGCTACTGGGCCGGGGTTCTCTAGTGCTGGTCAGTATTCTACTGCCTCACTATTGCTGACAGTAGTGTTACTGCCTCACTAGTGTTGGTCAGTAGTGCATACTTCTCACAGTGCTGGTCAGTAGTGTTACTGCCTGCACTAGTGCTGGTACATAGTGCTACTGCCCACTAGTGCGGTCATAGTGTTACAGCATCACTAGTGGTGTCCATATGTTACTTGCCTTCACTAGTATGGTCAAGTAGTGCCTACTGCCTCACTAGAGTTTGGTCAGTAGTGTTATTGCCTCACTAGTGCTGGTCAGTAATGCTACTGCCTCACTAGTGTTGGTCAGTAGTGCTACTGCCTCACTAGTGTTGGTCAGTAGTGCTACTGCCTCACTAGTGTTGGTCAGTAGTGTTATTGCCTCACTAGTGTTTGTCCAGTAGTGTTTACGGCCTCACTAGTTTGTCAGTAGTGTTATTTGCCTCACAGTGCTGTCAGTAATGCTACGCTGCCTCACTAGTGTGGTCATATGTTATCTGCCTCTCTATGTGGACAGTAGTTTGTTATTGCCCTCACTAGTGCGGGCTAATGCTACTGCTCACTATGTTGGTCAGTGTGCTACAGCCTTCACTAGTGCTGGTCAGTAATAGCACTGCCCATCACTATGTTGGCCATAGTGCTACTGCCTCACTAGGCGTGTCAGTAAGTGCTAACTACCTCACTAAGTGTTTGGTCATTAGTGTTATTTGAGCCGCACTAGTGCTGGTCAGTAGTTGCTACTTCCCTCAAAGTGCTGGTCATAGTGCACTGCCTCACTTGCGTTGATCCCTCAGAAGTGTTGTTGCTATCTTCAACGCAGCGCGGACGGTCAGTACCTGCTGCCACTAATCAACACCAATGTGAAAGTTACGTCGGCGGGGGAAGTACCTGCCTCTCTCCATGGCATCTACCGGTCCTCATGTGACATGAACGTCGAGTACTTCCCCTTCGACATCCAGTCCTGCAAGATGATGTGGGCTTCTTGGACCTACGACGGATACCAGGTGGGTGCTACAGGATAATGTAGGCCTCCTTGACTTACGAAGGATACCAGGTGGGTGCTACAGGATAATGTAGACCTCCTTGACTTACGAAGGATACCAGGTGAGTCTCTTATGACAGATATAAATATTCAACGTCTCTCATTATAATGTTTCATGCGCCCTCCTGAAAACTAAAGAGAATTTCAGGTCCTCTGGTCATTCTCAAGAGCAGTCATTCTTTAACAATGGAGTGAGGTGAGAGGAGTCACAGTTCCTGGTTCTGTGAGAGGCTATGATCCCTAGTGTCATGAGAGGCAAGAGTCCCTAGTGTTGTGAGAGGCAAGAGTCCCTGGTGTTGTGAAAGGCCAAAGTCCCCTGTGTTGTGAAAGGCCATAGTCCCAGGTGAAGTGAGGGGAGGCCATAGTCCCTGGTATTGTGAGACACCAAAGCCCCTGGTGCTGTGAGACACCAAAGTCCCTGGTATTGTGAGAGGCCATAGTCCCTGCTGTTGTGAGAGGTAAAAATCCCTGTTGTTGTGAGAGGCCATAATCCCTGGTGTCATGAGAGGCCAGAAACCTTAGTGTTTATGAGAAGGCCAAAGTCGTGGCCTTCTCGTTTGCCTGCCATAACCACTACAACTTGGCTCTCTGGGGAAAATTCTAAAGCTCACCCAAGTGAGAGACGGACCTGGTAGACCAAAGATATTTAGAATAAACAGACATATGTATTCCTTCACCTCTCCTTCCTCACTCTCACCATGATTAATTAACACTCAGTGGAAGGAATAGCTTTGATCCAATAACGGAGGGTACTTCAGTTCTTGGAACAAGAGTTTCCTTAATATCAAGCACTTTTATGTTTGTGAAAGGCTTCAGTTTTTTTCTAGATAAAAAGGTCATTCGGGATATCAAATCAAATAAGGGCAAGGTCTGTAATTAAGTAATAGATAAGATCATAAAGTTAACATCAACCTCATGAAGGACAACTTAAGGTCCATCAAGAACAAGTCGGGTAATTATACACAGAACCAAGTCAATAAGAACAATGTTCAGTAATTAAAGACAAGGCAAAGGCATAAGGACAGATTAAGGTCATAAAGGACAAGTTCACGGTCATTAAAGACAAGTTTGAGGTAATAAAAGACAAGAAGAGAATCGCCAAACATGATCAAATTCATTTAAGGTCAATTCACGTATTTAAAGACTAGATGAAATCGTCAAACATGATCAGTCATTAATGGAACAAGTTCCATAATAAAGACAAGTGAGAATCTTCAAAACATATCAGGTCATTAAGGACAAGTTCGGGTAATACAAAGACAAATAAATCATCAAAGACATGATCAGAGTCATTAAGAGCGTCTCTCAGCCAATCCCTACTATCACTCACTCTCTGCTGGTCGTCGCCTCGACTTTATCACTTCTCCCAAACTCTCGCCTCGAGTTTTAGACCCAAAAAAAACTATAATCCGTCTGATTTATTCATCCTATGACACTTCCATTGGTGGGGGGGGGGGGGATGGGGGGTGGCAAACACTCACCTTGTGACTTGAGAAATCTGACTTCCTGATTAACTCTCTGAGTTTTTGGCTTTTTGTTTGGGATATTATTTTAATAAAGGGTTGATAAGCCAACTGTTGTTAGCTTTTACTAATATCACTACTACTACTACCACTACTATTAGGTAGTACTACTATTGCTAGTAGTAGTAGTAGTGATTTTTCTCTAGTTTCCGACGATTACTAATACTACTGCCGAAATATTTAGCATAGGATTTTCTTTACTAATATCACTACTACGACTACCACTACTATTAGTAGTACTACTATTGCTAGTAGTAGTAGTAGTGATTTTTCTACTACTATTACTACTACTACGAAAGTATTTTAGCATAGGGATTTTCTTTCTGTTAGGTACAGATGGGGAAAAAAGTTCCCGGACACTCTCTCCCAGGCAAAAAATAATATCAGGCAACTCAGACGTAGTAAACAGAGAAGTACAGACCATTTTTCCATGAATAATAAACGCAGCTTGTAACGACGATAGTGATTGTTAACAAAATTAATTGTCGGTGGTTACTTACTGTGCATCTAATTAGAAACAGATTTATGAATTAATTACAGTTCGAATATGATATCCAATATTATAAAACTATATTTTTTGAGAAGGTAACCGAATATACTGTAAAGGAAGTGAAAGAGAAGTGTAAAGGGAAGTGATATTAATCATTACTTCATTCATATCTACTCAGTAAAACATAATTTTCGTTTGTCGGATTAAATTGGCCTCAGATTCAACTAATTGACATTTTACTGTGGCAACGTTTCGCTCTCCAGAGCTTGGTTGACAAAGCTCCTGGAGAGCGAAACGTTGCCACAGTAAAATGTCACATTAGTTGGATCCGTGTCCATAAAATAACATGCATTACACTCATCCTGTATGATGAATTATATTACCTCATGCATGATACCCATCCTGTATGATGAATTACATTACCTCATGCATGATACCATTCGTATATGAAGTACATTACCTCATCATTGATAACCCATTCTGTATATGAATACATTACCTCATGCATGATACCCATTCTGAATATGAATTACATTACCTCATGCAAGATACCCATCTGTATGATGAAGTACAATACCTCATGCTTGATAAACCCAATTCTGTATGATGAATACATGTACCTCATGCATGATACCCATTCTGTATGATGAATTACATTACCTCATGCATGATACCCATTCTGTATGATGAAGTACATTACCTCATGCATGATACCCATTCTGTATGATGAAGTACATTACCTCATGCATGATACCCATCCTGTATGATGAATTACATTACCTCATGCATGATACCCATCCTGTAAGAGGAATTACATACCTCATCATATACCCATTCTGTATGATGAGTACATTACCTCATGCAAAGATACCCATCCTGTATGATGAATTACATACCTCATGCATGATACTCCCTCATTATGATGAAGTACATTATACTCATGCAGGATACCCATCCTGTATGAATGAAGTACATTACCTCATGCATGAATACCCATCCTGTATGATTAAATTACCATTACCTCTGCATATAACCCATTGCTGTATTAGTGAAGTACATTATTTCATGCATAATACCATCCTGTATGATGAATTACATTACCTCATGCATGATAACCCAACCTGTTATGATGAATTACATTACCGCATGCATGAGACCCACCCTGTATGATAAGTTCCTTACCTCATGCATGAATACCCATACCTGTATGATGACTTACATACCTCATGCATGATAACATCCTGTATGATGACTTACATTACCTCAGCATGGATACCCATCCTGAGATGAATGACATTACCTCATGCATGATACCCATCCTGTATGATGAATTACATTACCTCATGCATGATACCCATCCTGTATGATGAAGTACATTACCTCATGCATGATACCACATACCTGTAATGAATGAATTACATTACCTCCATGCATGATACCCATCCCCGTATGATAGTTAAACATTACCTCATGCATGATACCCATCCTGTATGATGAATTACATTACCTCATGCATGATACCCATCCTGTATGATGAATTACATTACCTCATGCATGATACCCATCCTGTATGATGAATTACATTACCTCATGCATGATACCCATTCTGTATGATGAAGTACATTACCTAATGCATGATACCCATCCTGTATGATGAAGTACATTACCTCATGCATGATACCCATCCTGTATGATGATTACTTTACCTTCATGCATGATACCCATCTGTAGATGACTTACATTACCTCATGCATGATACCCATCCTGTATGATGACTTACATTACCTCATGCATGATACCCATCCTGTATGATGACTTACATTACCTCATGCATGATACCCATCCTGTATGATGAAGTACATTACCTCATGCATGATACCCATCCTGTATATGAAATTACTTTACCTCATCTGATACCCTTTCCTGTTTGATGACTTACATTACCTCATGCATGATACCCATCCTGTATGATGAATTACATTACCTCATGCATGATACCCATCCTGTATGATGAATTACATTACCTCATGCATGATACCCATCCTGTATGATGAAGTACATTACCTCATCAGATACCCATCCGTATGATGAATTACATAACCGTCATGCATGATACCCATCCTGTATGATGAAGTACATTACCTCATGCATGATACCCATCCTGTATGATGAGAAACAGTATGACAGTTTGTTTATACTATGTTACAGTTCGGTACAACAGCAGCACAGTACTGATGTAACGAATTTCGTTTTGCGTTAAAAGTCGATTAATTAATGGCAGAGCGAAATATAGCTGCTTTCTACGATGTACCAACAAATGAATAGTTATATAGAAAGGTAGCTGCAACACTGCGTGTACCTAAATTTTATTACCCTGGAGGTTACCTGGAGTTATTCCGGGGATCACGCCCCCGCGCCCGTCCATGACCAGTGTCTCATTTTTTTTGGAGGATTAATTGCAGTGGATACCCCCGCTTACTTCTGGCAAGAAAGCGAGTGGATGAATGATGGTGAAGGGTGTTTTTTTTTATGGGGGGGGGGGAGGAGGGGTAACTTTACTATTTTCATGGAAATTGGCGTAGCAGACAAATTTACAAGACATACAGTAAAGCTTGGATTTTATTAATTATTTGAGGCTTTATTAAATATTTGAGACTTTTTTACGTACTTGGAAAAGCCTCATAAAATATAAACAGAATATAAATATAGACAACCTTAGTAAAGGCATAGTATGTTCAAACAGACTCTCGTATCTTCTCTAAAACACAGCTGGACCTGGTGAAGCAGATGGACTCTGGGGATACGTCCAACTACCAGTCCAACGGAGAGTTCGACCTGCTGGAGTTCACGGCGTCAAAGAACATCACCTACTACTCGTGCTGCCCTGAAGCCCTACCAGACCTTTACCTCACCATTAAACTCCGACGTCGACCCATGTTCTACGTCTTCAACCTCATCCTGCCCTGCGTCCTTATCAACGGGATAGGTGAGTTACTATGAAAGACTGCCAAAGTATCCTGATCTGAGAAATTGGAGTCATCTCCCTGTCCTTGAATCAAAACTGATTGCCTCCCATTCCCATGGTTGTATACAATCCCTACGGGACTAGTGCTCCCCATTAAAAAAGTCAGCGAGACAGAGGCAAACTAAAAATTAGCCACTAAGAGAACTATGACGGAAAAACGCATACGTAGGCAGAAATGCGGAGATGAGGGAAGTTATGCATATTTACATACCCGCATTTACATACACAGGCGTGGGCAGCACCTGGGTATGTAAATAGGACTCAAAGTGCGAGTTATGGTATTTTATTGTTATTATTTTTAGTCGATCAGGGACATTATCATTTTACACAGAATAAAACATGGGTATTTATAGTACCTGCAGAGAGGTCCTGAGGTACAAGAATGAAGTTATGATGTCACATGTGAATACCCAGCCGAGTAAGTGAGGTTACCAACATACCGTTGGTAAGCTCTTCCACTGTACCGTCAACACCTGGGTTTATTCATTCTGAAGACGTTTCGCCAACCAATGGCTTCATCGATTCGGTACAGAGATTATTAACAGGAGACAACAGATGAGATAATCAGAACCACTGCCTGGAAGGTGCTGAAACTGGAGACAGTAAAGGATAAAGCAATCAAACCCTCAGCACTGAAGAAGGTGTTCATTTTTTTGCCGTCCTCTTCATCGGTTAACAAGAATGACGAGGATCCAAATTGAAGATCGAAGTAAACATATTTTCCCCTCGTGCCTATGTTTCTGTTTACCTTTGACTCTGTCTTTGTACTGACATTTTTTTTTTTTTACATCTCGATGTTCCCACAAGAAATGTGAAGTTCTGTCTAGTTTTCCACTAAAAAGGACAATATTTGGGCACTTGTTATGGTAGTAGTCGTAGTAGTAGTAGTAGTAGTAGTAGTAGTAGTATAGTAGTAGTAGTAGTAGTAGTAGTAGTAGTAGTAGTTGCAGTTCTAGCAACTACTAGTACCTATTGCTGGCGATGTCTTATTTCTATATCTGACTAAGACCCGCGTCAGGAAACACTTGTCCTGTGTCCTGACGAACCTTACCTAACCTAACCTATCCTAACCTAACCTAACCTATCCTAACCTAACCTAACCTAACCTATATCCAATGGAATAATTTTATTCATTTTTTCACAGCTATTAAGGTAGTCGGTGTAGAGATAAGTAAGAGACACAGCTAGTGACCGGATGGCTGCTTATTTTCAGAAGAGACATCAATTTAGAGCGTCGTGTATCTCTGTTGTCTTTCCCTTGTACTCAAGTGCTCGTTACTCTCACTCACCGGTCATCATACCCACAGCTCTGCTGTGTGTCCTACGTGCCCAGTGAGTCCCGGAAAGGTACTCTGGGCATCTCCGCTCTTCTCCATCCATGAAATTTTCCTCCATGACCATCAGAGAGTCCTTTGCCGACCAGCACCGAGAAACTCACCTGATAAGTAAGCCTCGTATAAGACCCTACAGATAAGCCTCTTATTTGTAAAGACCTTTTATAAGAAAATCTTCCTTATAAGTAAACTCGACTCCATCTAGGCAAATCTTTTTATATTCTTAGAGACTCACAGCCATTCTAGTACGTAAGCAAGGCCTTCTCCTAGCCGTGGACACGTGAAGCAGTGGCTAGTCAAGAAATGAGTTCTGAAAAAGTAGAAAATCTTACCTTATAAGTAAGCCTCTTATATCTGAGCTCCTTATATGTGAGCCCCTTATAAGTAAGCCTCTTATAATTAAGCTTCTTATATGTAAACCCCCTGTTAAGTAAATTTCCTTGATTTTTTAGCATAAATTTATGAAGAAGTCTTTAGTAAATAGGAAGCATCTAAATAAGTTGTATATAATTATGTCCTTCATTGATAAGATTTTTTTTTGAGTAGGGTGTTTCTGATTTAATCTCTTTTATTTACTTTCTCATCAGATCTTCCCAGTGAATTAACCTATAAGATAGAACTTCAATTATTACAAAACAGTGACACAGTGACCCATTAAAAGTGACAATTAATTAAAGTCCACTGGAAATACGTCCTTTATAATATCAAGAATATTGGGAAAGATCATCTGGTTAGTGATAATTTATATTAAATCTGGACTTCTTAAGTGCTAATTTGCCAATTTTATAGATTTTTTTTTATTAAAACAGAGAAAATCAAATATTTTTCTTAGAGAATTTTTAAGTATTAAGACCGGAGCTGTAGTGTAATATCTACTCGTCTGTTCTAAGTAGAGAAGAAAATTATATATGAAGACAATATAAATTACCATATAAAGCATATACTAAATCTGTGCTGTGAAAATAGCAGCACACTGCTGATGTACCGAATTTCGTTCAGCAGTGAAAATCAGTCACTTAATAAGAGGGGGAAAATATAGCTGGCTTTTGTACCCCGACAGTGAAACGCTTTTTTACAGAAGGTGTACACAGCATAACGCCTCAGTACTTGGAGCAAAATCTTAGTGGGCATGATACATCTACCATGATGCATCTTTATGTGGCTCTTACATGTCTTCCTTCCTGGTCCTGATACATCATACTCGACTAAGAAAACCTCCCAAGGCTCCCCTCATCTCTTGGAGTAGCTGTTTTACATCTCCCCTTTTCCTCACCGCAACCCTTCTACCCTCTTTTTAATCGCCCGCCTGTAGTGCCATCTTCTGAAAGTGACGATCACCTATTGCTTGTCTTTCTCCTTCCAATTTCTGCTACATTCTCATGGATGCCGTTCCAATCACTCTTTTACTCCCTCTCCTCTTCTCCTCTCTCTACTCTCACTCTCTCGTTTCCCCCGGCTGCAGTCCATCCATCTGAATATTCCCACCTGTAATGAAAAGGTACTATAGACCCTCAGTATATATTACCACGAGGGACTTCGATAAAGTCCCTGGTGGATAAACGTTTTGCCAATAAAATACCCTCAATAGTGTCATTATCATCATATCACACCTCTCCCCCCCCCTTCCCCCCCCACTCTCTCTCTCTCTCTCCCTGTTTCTTTCTCTTTGCAGGCCCGGTCTGCATCGTACCTGCGTTGCTGATCATTCTACTTCTTGCCCATCTCTCTACTTCCACAGACTGTGGCATCGTCCCACCTGACGCCATCATCTCGCCGCTCCCTCTCTTTCTTTCTCCCTTCAGGCTTGTACTACGGAGTGACCATCTGCCTTGTGAGTCTGTCCTCGGGCATGTCTGTGGTGACTCTCAATATCCACCACCGAGGTGGCCGAGGCACCGAAGTGCCGAAAGTCGTTAAGAAGTTGGTTCTTGGAGGTCTAACCAAGTGTCCTCTTCTTCAGTTTCACCCGCTGGCTCACGAAGATAAGAGGCCCCACCTGAACGTGAGTACTCGGGGCCTGTGTGTGTGTGTGTGTGTGTGTGTGTTTGTGTATACTCACCTAATTGTGTTTCCAGGGAGTAGAGTCTCAGCTCCTAACCACACCTCTATGTTGGCAGCTACTGGTTTCAAGCATCTTTGGTTGCGTGAACAATGTATGGATTCTGCCACTGTCACTTCGCTATCTAAGGCATTCCACTTCCTGACCACTCCAAAGCTAAAGAATTGTTTCCTAACAATCCTGTGATTCATGTGTGCCTTTAACTTCCAGCTGTGACCTCAAATACCTGAGACCCGCCTCTAAAACAGAGGTGGGACCACCTTGACAAGTCCTCTCAGTATTTTGTACGCCGTATTCATGTCACGTATGGTCCTGTCTTCTAGTGTGTGTGTGTGTGTGTGTGTGTGTGTTGTGTTGTGTGGTGTTGTGTGTGTGTGTGTGTGTGTGTGTGTGAGTGTGTGTGCATACTCATTTATATGTACTTACCTATTTGTGGTTGTAGGGGTCGATTCACAGCTTCTGGCCACTCCTCTTTACTGATCGCTGCTGGGTCCTCTCTCTCCCTGCTCCATGAGCTTTATCATACCTCGTCTTAATGCTTTGTATGATTCCTGCCTCCACTACGCCACTGCCAGACTATTCCACTCCCTGACAACTCTATAGCTTAAGAAATACTTCCTTACATCTCTTTGACTCATCTGAGTCCTCAACTTCCAATTGTGACCCCTTGTTTCTGTGTCCAATCTCTGGAACATACTTGTCTCTGTCCACTCTGATCACTTCTCGAGTACTTTGTAATGATCGTTACCATGTTATACCTCTAACCCTCCAATGTCGTCAGGTGTGTGTGGTGTGTGTGTACCCACCTAGTTGAGGTTGCACGGGTCGAGTCTGAGCTCCTGGCCCCGCGTCTTCACTGATCGCTACTAGGTCACTCTCCCTGAACCGTGAGCGTGGTTGGTGTGTGTGTGTGTGTGTGTGTGTGTGTGTGTGTGTTTCTGTTGTCAGTGCGGGAGGTATCAACAACCCACTCATCAAAACAGCTTGCGTGGATGCTCGCAAGCAATGACACATCACGGGGCTTTGACGCTCGGTAAGCCGCAGCGAGATCTCCCCCCGCGGCTGTGTTTAATAGGCGGTGAGGAGATACAGTCGCGGTGGAGACCTAATAATGCTGCGAGACAATGAGTGGAGAAGAGGATAATAGAGGAGATGGAAGGGAGGACAACGGAGAGGAGATAATTAAAATAAGGAAGGAGCAAGACTACGGTAGGTGGAGGAAGAGAGACGAGGCGAGAAAGACAAGGATGTGAAGATACGAGAGAAGAACAGGAAAGAGGAAGGGAGGTAAGACAGAAAATATATAAAAGACAGTAGAAGACAAAGAGGAAAGAAAGAGAATGAACAGAAGAGCCTGCTCAACGTGACACCTAATAAACATTGGGGATTAGAAAAGATGCGATAAAGCGATAAGAAGAAGAAAATATAACAAGAAAAGGAAAGAAGAGAAAACGAATGTAGAAGAAGAGAGAGAACGAAAAGAGGAGAGGGAGCAAGAAAGGGAGGAATAAAAGCGGATATGAGAGAAGCAATAGAAAAGGTTGACAGATGCAAACAATCACGCGAATGGTGTATTAGACCGAGATGAATAAGAGCGGAAGGGCGTCAAAGTGAGAGAGACAAGCACAGAAAGCTGAAAGGAAGTGAGAGAAGAGGGGCATGAGGGAAGAAGGGAGTATGGAGGATACCTGTGCAAATGACAGGGAATAAATAAAGATTTAAGGATAGCTTAGATATAAGTGAGGAGAAGGGAGGTAGGGAGGAGGAGAAGAAGAAGAAGAAAGAAGAAGAAAAGGAGAAAGGGAAACGATAAAGAGGGGGAAGTCATAAGAGAAGGGAGGTAGAAGAAATTGAAAGAGAAAGTTAAGAGGGACAGGCTTAGCTTGATAGCAGATATTACACTTCCTGAAGGAGATGCAAGATGGGCCAGAGAGATGTCGTGTTGATCTGAGAGAGAGAGAGAGAAAGAGAGAGAGAGAGAGAGAGAGAGGAGAAGAGAGAGAGAGAGAGAGAGAGAGAGAGAGAGAGAAGAGAAGAGAGAGAGGCAGAAGGCAGGACAACAGACAGAGACAGGACAGACAACAACAGAACAGAAGAAGAGAAGAGAACGAAACAGAGAAGCACATGAAAGTCCATTGAAATTTTATCTAAACAATAAACCACGAACATTTTATTATACACATGAAAACGAGAAAAAGCTGCATGCAAATATAAAGGAAAAAAATATCTCGAGAAAAATGAAGTGAGAATAAAACAGTAAAAAAAAAAAAAAACTCGAAATATATACCGAGTGAATATTTTGTTAAATTTTAGATTCTTTTAAAATTACAGTAAAAAAATATGTATATAAATTACATAAGTTACGTTGGTGCGCCTTGTGGAAAATCCCAAAATTTTGGAATAAACAGAGTGTATACAAAGACCAGAGTTACACAAACATACATGCAAACGTATATATACATATGCAGCCACACGCACAGATTTACCTACATATTACCTACACGACCACACAGACACACACACATAGATTCACGTACACATTATATCCACGACCACACAGACGCACACAGATTCACGTACATATCACCTACACTCCACACAGACACACAGATTCACATACAAAATCACCTACACTCCACACAGACACACAGATTCACGTAATATCACCTACACTCCACACAGACACACAGATTCACGTACATATCACCTACACTCCACACAGACACACAGATTTACGTACATATCACCTACACTCCACACAGACACACAGATTCACGTACATATCACCTACACTCCACACAGACACACATACCCACCTACACATACACTGCCCAGCAGGGACATACACACATGTCCACGTAGGAGCTGAGTATCGACCCCTGCAATCACAAATAGGTGAGTACATTACACTACTCATCACTCAGACACACACACACACACCAACACACAGTGAAAAGGAGGGCCAGGAGCTGTCTCGGCCTAATCACAGCTCTCACATATATGTTAATAGGCGGACCCCAGAGCTGGAGCTCCCCTTTCGCAAATACAGCATGTAACTACAGTCAGGTAATAATAACAGGGGAGCACAATCTTTGTTTCGTTTGATTTTAGTGTACACAGAGGTTGATACAGTAGTGAATGCTGGCAGAGAAACATGGTGTGGTTTATGGAATGGGGGGGAGAGAGAGGTGTTCTGTTTTATGGAGATGGAGAGGGATTGTGGTTTATAGAGTGGGGAAGAGGTTTTATAGAGAGGGAAAGATGTATTAATGGGTTTTATGTGGGGAGGGATGGAGGAAGGTATGTAATTTACAAACCGTGTTTCTTTATGATGTGTAAGTGAGGATGGGTGGGTGGTGAGGATGGGTGGGTGGTGAGGATGGGAGGGTGGTGAGGATGGGTGGGTAGTGAGGATGGGTGGGCGGTGAGGATGGGTGGGTGTGAGGATGGGTGGGTGGTGAGGAGGGTGAGTGGTGAGGATGGGTGGGTGGTGAGGATGGGTGGGCGGTGAGGATGGGTGGGTGGTGAGGATGGGGTGGGCGGTGAGGATGGGTGGGTGGTGAGGATGGGTGGGTGGTGAGGATGGGTGAGTGGTGAGGATGGGTGGGTGGTGAGGATGGGTGAGTGTGAGGATGGGTGGGTGGTGAGGATGGGTGGGTGGTGAGGATGGGTGGGTGGTGAGGATGGTGTGAGTGGTGAGGATGGGTGAGTGGTGAGGATGGGAGGGTGGTGAGGATGGGTGAGTGGTGAGGATGGGAGGGTGGTGAGGATGGGTGGGTGGTGAGGATGGGTGGGTGGTGAGGATGGGTGGGTGGTGAGGATGGGTGGGTGGTGAGGATGGGTGAGTGGTGAGGATGGTGTGAGTGGTGAGGATGGGAGGGTGGTGAGGATGGGTGAGTGGTGAGGATGGGAGGGTGGTGAGGATGGGTGAGTGGTGAGGATGGGTGGGTGGTGAGGATGGGTGAGTGGTGAGGATGGGAGGGTGGTGAGGATGGGTGGGTGGTGAGGATGGGTGAGTGGTGAGGATGGTGAGTGGTGAGGATGGGTGAGTGGTGAGGATGGGTGAGTGGTGAGGATGGGAGGGTGGTGAGGATGGGTGAGTGGTGAGGATGGGTGAGTGGTGAGGATGGGAGGGTGGTGAGGATGGGTGAGTGGTGAGGATGGGTGAGTGGTGAGGATGGGGGTGGTGAGGATGGGTGAGTGGTGAGGATGGGTGGGTGGTGAGGATGGGTGGGTGGTGAGGATGGGTGGGTGGTGAGGATGGGTGGGTGGTGAGGTGGGAGGGTGGTGAGGATGGGTGAGTGGTGAGGATGGGTGGGTGGTGAGGATGGGTGGGTGGTGAGGATGGGTGGGTGGTGAGGATGGGTGAGTGGTGAGGATGGGTGAGTGGTGAGGATGGGAGGGTGGTGAGGATGGGTGAGTGGTGAGGATGGGTGGGTGGTGAGGATGGGTGAGTGGTGAGGATGGGTGAGTGGTGAGGATGGGTGAGTGGTGAGGATGGGTGAGTGGTGAGGATGGGTGAGTGTGAGGATGGTGGGCGGTGAGGATGGGTGGGTGGTGAGGATGGGTGGGTGGTGAGGATGGGTGAGTGGTGTAGGATGGGTGGGTGGTGAGGATGGGTGGAGTGGTGAGGATGGGTGGGTGGTGAGGATGGTGGGTGGTGAGGATGGGTGGGTGGTGAGGATGGGTGAGTGGTGAGGATGGGTGAGTGGTGAGGATGGGAGGGTGGTGAGATGGGTGATGGTGAGGATGGGAGGGGTGGTGAGGATGGGTGGGTGGTGAGGATGGGTGGGTGGTGAGGATGGGTGGTGGTGAGGATGGGTGGGTGGTGAGGATGGGTGAGTGGTGAGGATGGGTGAGTGGTGAGGATGGGAGGGTGGTGAGGATGGGTGAGTGGTGAGGATGGGAGGGTGGTGAGGATGGGTGAGTGGTGAGGATGGGTGGGTGGTGTAGGATGGGTGAGTGGTGAGGATGGGTGGGTGGTGAGGATGGGTGGGTGGTGAGGATGGGTGAGTGGTGAGGATGGGGTGAGTGGTGTGGATGGGTGGAGTGGTGAGGATGGGTGAGTGGTGAGGAATGGGAGGGTGGTGAGGATGGGTGAGTGGTGAGGATGGGTGAGTGGTGAGGATGGGAGGGTGTGAGGATGGGTGAGTGGTGAGGATGGGTGAGTGGTGAGGATGGGAGGGTGGTGAGGATGGGTGAGTGGTGAGGATGGGTGGGTGGTGAGGAAGTGGTGGGTGGTGAGGATGGGTGGGTGGTGAGGATGGGTGGGTGGTGAGGGAATGGGAGGGTGGTGAGGATGGGTGAGTGGTGAGGATGGGTGGGTGGTGAGGATGGGTGGGTGGTGAGGATGGGTGGGTGGTGAGGATGGGTGAGTGGTGAGGATGGGTGAGTGGTGAGGATGGAGGGTGGTGAGGATGGGTGAGTGGTGAGGATGGGTGGGTGGTGAGGATGGGTGAGTGGTGAGGATGGGAGGGTGGTGAGGATGGGTGGGTGGTGAGGATGGGTGAGTGGTGAGGATGGAGTGAGTGGTGAGGATGGGAGGGTGGTGAGGATGGGTGAGTGGTGAGGATGGGTGGGTGGTGAGGATGGTGAGTGGTGAGGATGGGTGAGTGGTGAGGATGGGTGAGTGGTGAGGATGGGTGGGTGTGGTGAGATGGGTGGGTGGTGAGGATGGGTGGGTGGTGAGGATGGGTGGGTGGTGAGGATGGGTGAGTGGTGAGGATGGGAGGGTGGTGAGGATGGGTGAGTGGTGAGGATGGGTGAGTGGTGAGGATGGGAGGGTGGTGAGGATGGGTGGGTGGTGAGGATGGGTGGCCGGCGTGAATGGGTGGATGGGTGTTGTAGATGGATAAGCAATTTCTTCATATGATATGAGCAGCTTTCACGCAGTACAAAAATACACCAACAATTACCGGCAACACTCACATAAGGAAGAAATGCTTCCTTACGTAACACCTGACATTCCAGGAGGACTGGAGATTCTTTCTCACAGGACAGCATATTCCAACAGGTACTGGAATCTCTTACATTATAAGATGGTCTAGACTCTAGCAGGACAGGGCTGAAGTGTTTTTTTTTTTTTTTACACAGGATACTACACTCCAGAAATGGATGCGCCTCCCAAGAATAAACTAACACACAGGTATTACACCTGTGGGTTACACCTAGGTGGGTAGGTGTCTCATTAAACAATAGAAAGGCACAATACCGTACTGGAACAATACGTAAATAACCCGTATATTAGAGAAACAAGCTTATGACGAGGTTCCGGTCTGACTTGGACGATTGATCACTGACGAGTCTGAAACTAAGCAATGGGCCTGGTTGGACCGAAACGTCGTCACAAGCTTCTTTCCCCTATGTTTGGGTTATTTGTGTTATTATTATACTTTATTCCACATGGGTCTGAACGGTCTCCAGGTCTTAGTATTACACACGTCTCTCCCAACCCAAAGGACTCGAGATCAGACCTAGGCGGTCTGAATGGCTTCTAGGTCTAACCAGTGCCTTTGTCTCTTCCCAGCAGGACCTGAGACCAGAACTCGGAGTGAGGCTGGATTCCATCAGCACAGAGAAGTTCCATATGTCTGACATAGACAGCGTTGAATTTTATAACACATCTCCAAGGTTCATCCCTCGGAGACATAACGCCACCAATTATGATTCTACGCCCACGCCCGCGTCTACAACCATGCACACCTCAGGTATGTGGGCGAAATAAACTAGAAAAAATACAGTGGACCAAATTCTTCACATGAAGCAACACGCTCAACAACGCGACTGGAAGCATATTGTAAAAACGCTGTGCGTCACCTAAACTGCTCTTTTCTTTCCCTGCGATATATATATATATATAAATATATATATATATAATATATATATATATATATATATATATATATTATATATATATATATATATGTATATATATATATTATATATATATATGTATATATATATATATATATATATATGTATATATATATATATATATAATATATATATATATATATATATATATATATATATATATATATTATATATATATATATATATATATGTATATATATATGATAATGTAAAAATTAATAATTTTGTACCAAAAGAGCCTTAGAAAACCTACCTAATCTAACTAAATATATTTCAGATAAGCTTTATAATAATTTAATAATACATTTTAATAATACATGTTTTGTTAGGTTCAATATGATTTTTGCGAAATTATTGCATACACAAATTTTCACTTGCCTTATTCGGCAAGAAAAGCGTTGCTATTTAAGCCAAATTCGCAAGTTTTACCTATTCGGGACGATATATATATATATATATATATATATATATATATATATATATATATATATATATATATATATATATATATATATATATATATATTATATACTTACCTGTAATACCAATAATAATAATAATTTTATACGATGAATATTCACGATTCCATGCAGATTACCTGTTTAGTGTAATGAATGTATTTCAGGCAGACGAGTTTTATATTTTGGCCGCCAAAGCGTCGTTTATGGTGAATTTATGTTCATACAAATACCGTTCAGTTTACATTTTCCATATTTTTTAAATGATTTATTACGTCTTTCAAATATACACGTAGTTATGGATTTTAATTCTCAAATGTCGACAAAGAACAACATGAGCTCCGTTTAGGTATATTCTAACTCCATTTTTTATCAACAGTAATCCACTAAAACCATTAAAATGCTCTATTGGATCGTGGATTACAATTACATGACATTTAACCATTTTTGAAAATCCTAAGAGGATTATTGTAATTTCAATGAGCGCAACGGATTCGTCAAACATTTTACAAGAGGAAATCCTTTTTTGTGGCCTTTAAAAAATTGATCAGAGTTAATCCCCAGTGATGGATTTCTAGTTTCGCTTGTCAGTGTAATCCTCGAGTCAACTAACTGCAGTGATTGTGTCAGATTACTTAAAATAGAATGAGTCGGGCCACTGTCAGTGGTCATAGAGTAATGTCGAGTGTACACAAATGATTACACATATATTTATCTTACACGAGTATATATGGAAAACAACCGCTGTGAAAAAATAGCAAACTTCCAAGCGTTTTCTTGATGTCTCACATTATCAAGGATCTTGATCATGTGAGGTCCTTGAAAATGTGAGAAATCACGAAAGCGCTTGGAAGTTCACTATTTTTTCTCGGTGGTTATTTTGCATAATGTGATATCACCTATGGAAAACAACCACTGTGAAAAAATAGTGGACTGCCAAGCGAATTCGTTATTTCTCACATTATCAAGGACCTTGATAATGTGAGAAATCACGAAATCCATTGGAAGTTCTTTATTTTTTTTTTCAGGGTTTACTGTGGTCTCTCTGCATGATTTTATATGAGTATACAAGGGTACACATAAGCATACATAAGCATATGTGTTCAAAGAAATATGTACTCATAAATGATTATGCATAAATGAGTAATCATAGTGTGACTTCATTAATGAGTACGGAGATGAGTTCAGAAAACAATCTGAAGATGTCAGATCTTAACTGAACACTCTTATTGCAGATTTTGAACATCATTTCATCCGGGTTTTGAACAAAGTTCACCAGACGATTGAGAAGAATGAACTGAGGCTGGCTGAACAGGACAGGAAGGAAGCCACACGTGTAGAGTGGCAGCAGGTGAGAGTGTGAGGGAGAGTGGGACGGAGAGTGGGAGAGTGTGAGGGAGAGTGTGGGAGAGAGTGTGAGGGAGAGTGTGAGTGTGAGAGAGGGTGTGAGGGGGAGAGAGAGACAGACAGAGACAAAGAAGGTAAGAGGAAGAGTGTGAAGGAGGGTGTGAGGGAGAGTATGGAGGGAGAGAAACAGAGAGGAAGAGGGAGTGAGGGAAGAGTCATCAGGAAGAGTCCCTCCCTGCTGTAATTACTGTCACAATAATTAATGACACAGACAGACACTGGGGGGTAAAAAAAAAAAAAGGAGAGTGAGTTTTTTGGAAAACTGGGGAAAAGAAATGTTTGAATTTGCAAACAGTTTTGTCCTCTCCTAATTTTAAATTTCTTCTGTTAGACTTTAGTGTCCACTTCATGAAATGCTTCAGTTTTTATTTTCCACTAACTCTCCTGAAAGACTAGCTAATATTTTTCTAACACCAATAAATTTTCGATGCCTCACGAAACTGCGATTTAGTGTCCAATAAACGACTAACCCCGTGAGTTAACTTGAGCACTGAAATTAATTTCATCGTTAAATTGTAAGGATCATACTTGCTTACTTATAAAACTTGTTTTATGACTTATGTTCTATTTTCGTGGCCAATAGATTTCTGCGCACTACGCATCCAATGGCTCGTAGGGGGTCCAAGAGCTGCGCCTCAACAAATACCAATACTGTTTGTGAGAAATCGTATTATACTGCATTTGAATTTCTTTAACCAGATATAAATACTATTTAACCATTAACACCAGAATCCTTGAGCCATTAACACCAGAACCCTTGAGCCATTAACACCAGAACCCTTGAGCCATTAACACCAGAACCCTTGAGCCATTAACACCAGAACCCTTGAGCTATTAGAACCCTTACCTCAGTAACACAAGAAATTCTTAATGATTTAATATTCAAAATCCTTACAACCCACATTAGAAAAATTATTGTTCCACTAATATATTGCATCCTTGCCAATTCTAAATACAATTGAATTGTCGTATCCTTTCCCCATTAACACCAGCGTTCCTTCCCACAAAACATAACTATTTCTTGCCCAAGTAATGAATTCCTTGCCCCGTTCACACCAGTTTGCATCAAACTTCAATATTCTTGCCCCCAGAAATACCAACACCCTAGCCAGTTAACAGAAAAAAAACCGTAGTCCCATTAACACCAATGTCCTCTGAAACCAATAACACAAGTGCTCATGTTATTGTTTTTTTCCACTCTCAGGTGGCCCTAGTGTTCGACAGACTACTTCTTGCCTGCTTCCTGCTGTCTACAGTGATTGCTACCACCAGCATCCTCTTCTCATCTCCCCACGGTCCCTGACGCCACAGCCTCAAGCAACCACACCACCACCACCACCACCACCAACAACACCACCACCACCACTACTACCACCACCAACATCAACACACCTCGCGCCAACAGTGAAAATTTATATAATCTGAGGTTGGTTGAACACTTGTCTGTGTCAATTGAAGACCTTATAAGATTACATTACCTTGTAAAGTTACATTAAAATATATTTAGTGATTTAAGCGCCTGTATTTGGTAGTAATAATAATAATAATGTTAGTATGACAATAATATTCATAAAAATAATGCTAATTCTACTTCTACAACTACTACAACTACCACTACTACAACTACTACAACTACCACTACTACTACTACTACTAGTACTACTGCTAAAACTACTATTATTATTATTACTACTACTACTAAAAACAATAACAGTAATAATATGAAGAGGAAAAATGACAATAAAACCAATAAAAAATATTAACAATAACAATAAAAATAAAAGCTAAAATAATTATAGTAATTATAGCAATAATTATTTTACTATTATTTATTACTAATAAACTAATAATTCCAACACTTATATGTATTAAAGTATTCATGACTGGTGGTGAGGAGGCGATATGTAGCCTTAATGACACTCATAACAGACTTTTAAACCCACCAACCAACCAGCCTCACTCTTATTAACGTTACTGTTGTAATGAAATATATAGCGGTATTGTTAATTTCAACACTGTTCCTCTGATATTAATCAAATTATTTCTCCCCAGCTCGTTCCTGAATGTAATTAATGTTACAGCCGCTTACTGATCAACAAAATACGGAACAAATTGCGTATAACTGCGTAAACAACACGTGTCTGACAGACAGTACAGCGTATTATCCACGAGTTAGAAACTTTTTGTTTGCATCATAGTTGTGTTAATGTTGATACAAATGCTTATTATTATTATTATATTATTTATTATTATTATTTTATTATTATTATTATTATCATTAATTTAATATTCTTAGCCTTCAAATTCATTTTACCTTGAGGAAGAAGTTATTAAATTAATGATGCCGCCGTAATCTGCTTAGTTATGTCACCGAGGTAAAACCTTGGTAGCTCTGCTAGTTGCTTAGTTTTTACCTCAGCACAGGAAGAAGATGAAGAAGACGAAGAAGGGAGTTAAAATAAAAAGAGTTAAGGATGGAATCCTTTTCCCCTGTACAATTAGAGAGTTAAAACCCCCCTTACATGTATTTAGCTCACTAACTCGGCATGTTACATTATGCTTTCTCATACTGGGTAGTGTAGGAGAGTAATGAGATCCTCCCTTCATTTCCGAGTGAATTTATTCAACACTTCATTTCCATTTCCAGTTTGCTGTCAGTGTTCCTGATCTTCGTCACCAGGACCAACAAGAACAAGAGGAAGTACAAGATCATAGGCAACAACAGGAGACAAAGATGGCACAATACCGTGACTGGAACAATATACGTACATGGGGGGAAAGAAGCTTACGACGATGTTTCGGTCTGAGTTGGACCATTGACTAGACATACAACAACAAATAACAGTGACAGTGATGGCGACAACAACACCAGTGACAACAACAATGTCACCAACAGCACTACCACCACAGTCAACAATAAAACGACACCAACAACACACCACCATCACGAAAAACAAAAACAACACCACCATCACCACCACCACCAACAAAACAACAATTAATAACAAAAACAACAACAAAATCAACACCCCCACCACCACCACAAACAACAAAAACTACAGCAACAATAATTAATCATCTTTTACCTCCCACCAGCACAGCCAACAACAGCAGTCAACCTTATGCCTCACCACCACAACCACCAACATCCCCACTTCCACCACCATCACTGCTACCACCACTGCTACCACCACTACCACCATTGTTCTCAGTCTCTAAGATCAGACATCAAGTTACGACCACTGCCACCCACTACTGCCACTATGCACTTACCAGTACTACCACCCCTGCCATTACTACCACTATCATGACCACTACCATTACGACTATCACCACCACGACCACTGCAACTCACAGGAGACATTCTCTAATATATTTGTCAAGATAAGGGTTTTCATGACACTGTTCTCTGCGTGATGGTGGATAAAATGATAAAATGAGAGAGAGAGAGAGAGAGAGAGAGAGAGAGAGAGAGAGAGAGAGAGAGAGAGAGAGAGAGAGAGAGAGAGAGAGAGAGAGAGAGAGAGAGAGAGAGAGAGAGAGAGAGAGCTAATATGTCACGGACTGCATATCTTCTATAAAAATTATCTAGTCAAACTCTCATGGTAAAGATCCCTCAGAACAAAATATTAATAGGTACATTCCTTAAGCTCACAGGAAATCGTTATATAAGACCCATGGAATTGGTAAACGTTTAATGAAAAAACGAAAGAGAAAGTTTATGAAATAAAACTCGTAAAACGTGATAATTTTGGAGATGACGGGCTTCGTGTAAGATGTCAACAATTCAACAAGACTTGCAGAGGAGACCGATAACAATTTTTATCCACAGACTTTCTCCTTTACTATCATACACATCTGACCTTGGATTGTATACTATAATCATTCCTTAAACAAGCAGTCTCTCTTCTTGGGATGTATACTATATCATGCCTTATGCACGGGCGTGGGGAATGATTTACCATGCTGACATCACTATTAAAATTTGACCAAGAGAAAGCAAGATTTTGAGGGTGGACAAGCAGTGATGTAGGATCTACTGGGCTGTTTCCTTGGTTCCTGGACCCGTGTTGTTCCCTTCCACATCTCTCCATTAGTGCAGTAAGATAAACGGAGCTGATAAGTAAAATACATATGCAACACTCAGGTATCTATCCTATCTTCATTGTTGCAACGTTTCTCCTGCACAACAGGATTTATTTGAATACAGAAGTGACAACAACATTTGGAATCTTTCGGTAATAAAGATGCCAGATGTTGCATATGTGTCTTATTTATCATCTTGCTGGATTTGTATGCCGTTTATAGTGAGATTTGTGGAATGTTTAGTAATGCAATTTACTATAGTGTCCTCACTGACAGCTAACTTTTTTTTCTGATGTTTCACTAATAGTTTTTCTCTGTTGACAGCAAAATGCCAGCTATCTAAAACTTCACTGATAAGTTGATTCCATACTAACAGCACACTCAATAACAGTCCACTGACATCTCCTCTGATACACAACTGATATTACACTGACAACTCACTGACTGTTTGCTAACAGCCTGATGAACAGTTGACTGATAGACTTCCAGCATCTCACTGACTCATTGTTACAGTTCAGTGACCCTCTTTAACAACCAACTGGCGATCTTCTGACATCCCACTGGCCCTCTAAAACAACTTTCTGACAGCAGTCCGACAATCTACTAACATCCCACTGACGTATATTTAAAAGTCTCTTGAAAGTCAGCCTGCATGCAGTGAGAGCCCCCTAGCATGTCACTGACAGAACACCATCATTCCACTGACAGCCAGAGTTTCATCTCTGCTGTCAAAGGTGTTGAGCAAAAGGACTTAATAAATCTATATATAAATGTATATTTTGTAATAAATTGTAAATACTGGTGATCATAAGATTTATTACCTATGAAAAATATTCAGTATAGAGAGTAATGACTTATGATTGTGTCCCTGGAAAAGCGCCTAACCCAAAGGGACACATATATATATATAGTTCTGTGAAATGAGGTAAACAGGTTTGATCCAAGGAAGGGGAGGGTATTTACAAGATGCAGCAGTCAGTTGCTAGAGTATTAACGCTAAAGGTGGCAAAACTGACTGCAGTAACAGCAGTGTCAGTGTCAGTAGCAGCAGCGATGGACTGATCACATCGTCTTCAGATCTATACTGCCTCATCTGTAGTCGACTGAAGAAGCCTACTCTATAGGAGAAACGTTTTAGAATAAAGATATCTATGTGTTGCACATTTGTCTTACTTATCAACTTATCGATATTGTATACTATTGTAATACTTACCCGGATCCATCATTCAACCTGGGATGTCCATCTCTGGCATGTTGCTCAACCTGACTTGCATATCACTATACAAACGTTTCAGCTACTCAACATACCCCAAATGATCTTTATTATGCAGTTCGATGCCCAAAGTCCTTTACTACTCTAGAACAACTTGAGCTTTCAATAATAATACTAATTATAATAGTAATAATAATAATAATAATAATAATAATATAATAATAAATATATCTCAAATTTTACAAGTACAGGTACAAGGTATGCAGACCATAGCTGACATCAATAACATACTACTATATAGAAATCCGCTTGTTATGCAGATCATTTCGGGCAAATTAGGTCAGTATTGTCCCAAGATGCGACCCACACCAGTCGACTAACACCCAGGTACCCATTTTATTGATGGGTGAAGATAGACAACCGGTGTAAAGAAACACGCCCAATTTTTCTACCCTCGCCATGGAAAACTGTAGTGGCAATTGTTTGCTCAATAGGTTCAGTTTTTCGTTCCCTCTGGTAAGTGAAATTTATTTCATTTGGCAGCTAATATCTGTTGTGCAAACTTCTTATCAATCAAAAATTACTCAGTACAGGTCGACAGTGCAATAAAGGGAGGAAAACAAATGCGTTATGTTTACCATTGGAACAATATACTCAGGCAGTCAAACTCTTCTTTGTTTTCCTCACAAAGTTGTCAGAGAAAAGACGATCTTGAAGTGCATTTGATTTGATACAACTGATAACAATTATTGCAATAGAGAAGGCGTTATGCAGACGACCTCCCAATTTTTTTTATCAGGAGCCTAAGTGGTCTAAGAATTCAGAGCGTGACTCTTCTTTGGTGGAGAGTGAGGCGTCTGTGTTCAAGAGATTATTATTATTATTATAAATGAAAGGTAGTGGAAGCGCTACTTAGGAGGATTGTACCTCTTTGGGGGTGGGGATGTGGAAGGCTTCAGGTTAATTCGGTGGAACTGGAGCACAGATCCAATTCCCTAAATCAAGAGCCCCTCACCAACATCAAGGAACCTTCCTTGAGGGGTGTGTCTCAAGAGAGTTTTTTCATATTTTTACATGAGTCTCCGGATCACCAGCACTACTGGTGATAAGAATGAAATAGTTGGGACCGTCCTTGAAGTAGCAGGTGTACCCTTCTTTGAGGGCATCACGTACTTGCCTCTGATGGCCACGTAACGTCAAGTGGTGCCTGTAGCCGAGAGATTATAGGTCACTAAGTGCATGCACACAGTTTGTATCCTACATCTTTGCCCGCACTCCGAGGAAAGTGCGATTCAGGTTAGTTTACAATAGTGCTCCGTTTTCTTTTTACTCCATATAGAGAGAAAACCAATTTTGCATCCTGCCTTTTATGGGTAACTTCTATAAACGGAGGGTTAGAAAACAAGGATAAAACAGTAAAGCCAGTCACTTACCGTCACTAACTGGGTTTGATAAATAAAGGGAAGGGTGGTTTCAGTTCCTTGGATCAAAAACTTTTGACCAGCATCAGGGCTCACCCTTGAGTGTTCTTATTATGTACTATTTTTTTTTTATTCTCCGGTATTCTCCCTGCCCGGGTCCGGCCTTGGCTCCCTATCTGGGGAGTGTCTCGAGACGTAAGTCTCCCATGGGAGGAGGTAAAAGTACCCCCTCATCTGTGGGACCAACTGTCCCCAGGCCTAGCCACATTCCCCGCCCTCACGGGGCTCGTAGGGAGAAGCTAGGCCTCTGGTTTGCCATCTGCCCCGCCCGAAGGGGCTCGTGGAAATGGCAGTCTTATGAGCTGCAGATGGTAGCAGCTCAGGCCTTATTATTATTATTACTAGTGTAGTAGTAATAATTGTATGAGTAGTAAATAAGTATTACTATTAGTAATAGTAGTAGTAATAATAGTTGTAGTACAGTAGAAGTAGCATTAGTAGTAGTAGCAGTAATAATAATAATAATAATAATAATAATAATAATAATAATAATAATAATAATAATAATAATAACAAAGAAGCGCTAAACTCGTGCGAACTATACATACCTGGAAAAGAAGATATTATTTCAATGATTAACCCAGGTATCTAGTAACCCTAGATAACTTGGATTATTAAGATCTTTGATCCTCTTTAGTAAGTAAGTAAGTAAGTTTATTCAGGTATACACAAATACAGTTACATAGAATTATCATACATAGCAGCATATGTGTAGAGAACCTGGGATAACCCAAAAAAGTCAGACAGAGTGACTTATTTCCATTGGGGTCCTTTTACCTTATTATTATAATATAAAGGTTACAATATTTTCTTATTCTACAATGAAGACAACATCTTATTATCATACTAAAAAGACTATCTACTACACCAAGGTCATTAAGACTATCTACAATACGAGGGTCATTACTAGGAATATGGTAAAATTTACACGTATGTTAGCTAAAAAATAGAAAATCATTCCCCTCCCTTTCTGTAGCTACATTCATCAGACACCTTTTGGCACTCTTCTTGAACTGGCATTGACATGTGCGGGCAGTCTGTTCCATTCCTTTATTGCTGTACAATAAAAGGTGTTTGAAGCCTGGCCACTGACTGTGGGTACTACAAAGTTGTGCTCTCTCCCCCTAGTACTATGATTGCTTTGGTTCCCAACCTTGACAAAATTGACAGCAAGATATTCTGGACATGTTTGTGAGCAATTTTATAAACATGATTTAGCTTCAGTTGTTTTACTCTGTCTTCAACATTCAGCATACCCCAGGATGCGAGCCACACAGGCTACTAGCTAGCATTGTTAGGTGAACAGGGGCAAGTAATGTCAGAAAAAATGTTCATGTTGAAAAGGAATCAAATACACAGTGACTTTGGTCATTTTTTTAAGTTAACCTAATCATTGATATCACGTGAAAAAAAACTGATATTCTCAGAAAGTCACCCTATTAAAATTATTATATTATAAAACATGTGAAACCCGTGTGGATCTAATCGATAACACTTGTTGCAGCAAACTAAACCGTATGTGTGACGCAGGAGGCTCGATCCTCTGTCTTCCTAGACGGGAATATGGTGTCATAACTCTGGCATCGATTGAGTGCATATCTATATTTGGCATACATCACATATAATCACATTTATGCATGTCATTTTAAGCCGGCTTTACGCTCAGTAGGTAATGCTTGCTTAAATGAGTGCACCGTTTAGTTATGGGATGACCTAAGAAGATCAAGTGAAGTTACCTTGCATGGCGGTGCAGCCAGGACTCTCTGATCCTTACATGTCTCAGTATGTCTAACTCCATACCAGAATCTGTCCTCTGTATGAGTATTCTATTGCTGAAATCAGTAAGAGTACTTTTATTCGTTCTCTAATCTCTACTACGATTTCATTAATTGACTGCTATCCACTGTTCATAGTGTAAATAACTGTATATGGTTTAATTGTCAATTCTTGTGGTGGGAAAATAAGCTAAAGCTATCTGTGGGCGTGTATTTTATTCCTCAATTTCAATTGTTGTATTCACTGCGCTATACTTAGTGGGGATTTCAGTCACCATGATAATGATCCAACCATGACACAGGTATATTAAAGCAGGAAATATTTACTTTCGTGTTGAGGTGAAGACAGTCAACAGTACTTCCAGTCTTTGTGTGTTTTTGGACGACACGCCACTGGACACTCGTTTCTGACGCCGTCATTCGCGAACTCTTTCCTGTAGGTCCTCATTCCGACGAAGGTGTCATTGACTCGCTGTGAAGGAAAGGGCAAGGAGCCTGGGAACTTCTCGCAGGTGTAGGAGTCATGAACCAGGACATTTCCACTTGCCCACGGCCACATGTGTTGCTGTCAAGGGTAATGTTGGTTTAAGTTTACAATAAAAACAAGCTTTTTTCTTACCATTGAAAAATTAGTGAATTATAAAGCATTTTTGGGAAGATATGTTGCAATTAACACTAAGAAAGTATCTCATTTGATCATTGACTAAAAATTTGATGTTCACTTCGAATAAAACATTCATTTCTAATTGTGTCACATGCACTTTTAGAACATACAAAACAACTCTAAACATGAGAAAACAATGTTTTTTTGTTGTGGGACCGAGGTGTAGACCTTGCATAAACTTCTGAACACATTGTTACAGTGTCGATTCAGCTGTGGCACTGAACACGTATGGCCACTAGTTCGGTCCATAATACTCCTTACACAATCGTATTTCAATCTCCTCCATACCAACAGTGCCGAGGAAAAGTTTTGAAATACCCACGAAGAATCTAACCTCTTTCAACACTCACTCAACGCCACGACTGTCTCAACCTAGATGAATCTAACCTCCTTCAACACTCACTCAGCGCCACTACTGTCTCAACCTAGGAGAACGAATCTTCGTGTTATTGCTACTCACCGAGAGGACAACCTGGTCGTAGTTCCATTCCCGGGCATTAGTTAGCATGGAATCCCGGACGCTAGTAGCCTTAGAGAGGTACCAGGTGTTGCAGCCTCCCCAGGTACCAGCAAGCATGTTCACCCCATGGTGCTTGTTGTCTCGCATCACATGGAAACACTGCAATATTGTAATTATTATTAATTATTATTACAATTATTTTTTTTTAACAAACCGGCCATATACCATCGAGGCAGGGTGACCTAAAAAAGAAAAACGAATGTTTCTCTTTTCAAATTTAGTAATGTATACAGGAGAAGGGGTTACTAGCCCCTTGCTCCGGGCATATTAGTCGCCTCATACGACTTGCATGGCTTACGGAGAAGAATTCTTCTCCACTTCCCCATGGAGAATTATAATAATAATAATAATTATTATTATTATTATAATGATTCAATCGATTCTAATAATGATGACACTGACCTTGCCTGAGGTGATCCACTGCTGGACCGCGTCCACCTCTCGCTGCAGGATGGGTGAGTCAGCATCCCTGACGATGTACCGGTTCACCAAAGGGTCACCCACCACGCAGAACCTCCAGGTGGTGGGCGTGGAACCCCGCACGTCACCTACACCTACGGTACAGTACACCAGTGAGAGAGAGAGAGAGAGAGAGAGTTACATAAGTGTCGTAATTCAGCATTGTTATTATATTTACCAGTTGGTTCGTAAACTGGGTTTCGCCTTGAATCCCTAAGGTCACTCATTCCTTTTCTAAACCAGACAAAATATTTTAAATACTTTTTTTGGGATTGAGAAACTTCCGGTTTATAAGCAAAAATTTTCTTCAGGGTGTTAATTATCAATACATTTTTTTTTTTAAATTTTTAATAACATTTTAAATTTTATATTTGTATTTTTTTAAATTATTATCGTCATTTTCATTGTCATATTCAAAGGAAAGCGCAAAATCAGTAAAAATTAATAAAAAATTTTATAATAAAAATTCTTTTTAAGCGCTAAACCCAGGGGGTTATTCGAGCAAGCCCTGGTGGAGGCTTGTCCTCCGTTGCTGAGCGCCAGATCAGGTGGAATGGGATCCCCTTAAATTCGATTAAAACGTGTCTTAAAAAAACCCCCCACTAGGATCATGGCCCCCCCAGTGAGGAGTACGGAAGCATGACTCGCTAAAAATTTGCGTTTTGGGGCGTTATCCAAAGACGTCATGCGTGGCAGCCAAACCTACATTATGTTAAATATTCATTCCTGTACCGAAGGGGTGACGCACTTGTCTTGGTTACATCTTCCGTTGTGAAACATCTTTAAAAAGGCCCCATGTTTAAATTTGTTTTTTTTTTAATGAAAAAGGGACACAAGCAGTGGTGTTTGGGGCTGGTAGTGAGTGTTTTGTGTAGTAGCAGAAAACCGCAGCACCCGACCAACAGTGTATGCAGTAATAGTGTATTGTTTTATAGTAACAGTAGCGGAAATAGTCATAATATATATTGCTACAGTAGTATTACTATTAACAGCAGAACCACTGTCGTCTCGATTCAACTATCCTGAATAAAATAATCTTTATGATTTATCAGAAAATATATACTCTCTGATTTACAAGTCCAGCAGAGGATTCTAAACCCGGTCTCAAGACCATGCAAGCAGAGAATCAGATTCACGGTGCTTAAACAGTAACGATTCACCACAGCTTTAAATAACCAGACAAAACTAAACGTTGTTTCCCAAAGCCAGGTTCACCAGAGACTTCATCCATATTATATATATTATATATATTTATATATATATATATATTATATATATATATATATATATATATTATATATATATATATATATATATATTATATATGTCGTGCCTAATAGGCAGAATTTGCGATCTTGGCTTAAATAGCAACGTTCATATTGCCATATAGGACAAGTGAAAAATTGTGTATGCAATAATTTCGCCAAAATCATTCTGAACCTAACGAAAAAAATATACTTCACTGTGTTTGTTTGATATTAAATTACTGTTAACAAATCAAAAATATATATAGTTGGGTTAGGCTAAAATAAATTTCTCTTCTTATAATAGGGTTAGGTAAGTTTTCTTAGATTCTTTTAGTGCAAAATTAAAAAAATTTACATTAACATTAATGAAAAAAATATATCTTTAAACGTATAAGAGAAAATTTTAGAAAGGGCTTAATTTTAAATGAGTTCTTGCTAATTGACCAATTTTACATATTCGGCACGACATTATATATAAAATATATATAATATATATATATATATATATATATATATATATATATAATTATATATATATATATATAATATATATGTCGTGCCGAATTAGGCAGAACTTGCGATCTTGGCTTAAATAGCAACGCTCATCTTGCCATATAGGACAAGTGAAAACTTGTGTATGCAATAATTTCGCCAAAATCATTCTGAACCTATCGAAAAAAAATATATTTCATTGTATTTGTTTAATATTAAATTACTGTAAACAAATCTAAAATATATTTAGTTGGGTTAGGCTAAAATAAATTGTTCTTGTTATAATAAGGTTAGGTAAGTTTTCTAAGGTTCCTTTGATGCAAAATTAAAATTTTTTACATTAACATTAATGAAAAATATACATCTTTAAACGTATAAAAGAAAATTTCAGAAAGGACTTAATTTTAAATGAGTTCTTGCTAATTGACCAGTTTTACATATTCGGCACGACATATATATGCAAAACAACCACTGTGAAAGAATAAAGAAATTCCAAGCGCTTTCGTGACTACTCACATTATCAAGGAACTATGAAAGTAAAGCATCCAAGGAAGGTATATAAGGGGTCTGGCCAGCACCTCACTATCAGATCCCACAACAGTTAAACACCTGACGCGCGCCGGCCCAACTGGACAGGTCCTTCGCACAACCGTCGCGCGTCAGGTGTTTAACTGTTGTGGGATCTGATTTGTGAGGTGTTGGCCAGACCCCTTATATACCTTCCTTGGATGCTTTACTTTCATAGTTCCTTGATAATGTGAGTAGTCACGAAAGCGCTTGGAATTTCTTTATTCTTTCACAGTGGTTGTTTTGCATATTCTGAAATCCCCTGTTTACTGTGATCTTATTGCATTATATATATATATATATTATATATATATATATATATATATATTATATATATATATATATATATATATATATATATATATTTTATATATTATATATATATATATATATATTCTATGTTGAACAAATATTGAAAAACATTGCAATGAATTCGCTCTTTTTAAATATAAATTGTTTTTTGCATTGTGTACCTGCTCCTGTTCTTCTACTAATATCCGTTGCTTTCCTTATTTCATGTAATGTCACTAACTCACAACTGGTAACCTTCCGCCTGTCTGACAGTACCCGTAATGTTCGTGGAATCGCAGAGATCAAGATGGTCGTAGTTACAAGCGAGCCTGCAGGCCCATTCCCTCTGTTGCTCCTGTTTGAGGTCCAGGTGGAGCCGTATCACCCAGCCTGGGTACATTCTGGCTACTTGCGGTATCAGAAGTTCCAACCCTCTGTGATATTCACCGGGAAATTCACCGTATACGGAGTAACTCACTACCTGGAGAGAGAGAGAAAATGGTGTAGTTGGTGTTGGAGGTAGACTTTGTCTCTCTGTCTGTGGTATTTTCGACAGACAGCCAAACGCAGACGCAAACAGAAACATACACAGGGAGGAATACACACACACACACACACACACACACACACACACACACACCACACACACCACACACACACACATACATACACACACACACACACACACACACACACACACACACACACCCACACACACAACACACACACACACACGACAGGAGAGACAGTGGAGACATGATAACGACATATAAAATACTGAGAGGAATCGACAAGGTGGACAGAGACAGAATGTTCCAGAGATGGGACACAGCAACAAGGGGTCACAGTTGGAAGTTAAAGACTCAGATGAATCACAAGGATGTTAGGAAGTATTTCTTCAGTCACAGAGTAGTGAGGAAGTGGAATAGTTTCGGAAGCGATGTAGTGGAGGCAGAATCCATACACAGCGATAAGAAGAGGTATTATAAAGCTCATGGAGCAGGAAGAGTGAACCAGTAGCGGCCAGTGAAGAGGCGGGGGCCAGGAGCTGTGACCCGACCCCTGCAACCACAACTAGGTGAGTACAATTAGGTGAGTACAGATACACACACACAACACATACACACACACCTCTTCAACAAAGTATAGAAAAACGCAACTCGAGTTTATTCATACACAGTTTATCGTGTCGTGACCAACACGTTAAAAAGTCGGTCATATTGTCAATAATCCTTACCATCATTTAGGTGAAAAATTTAAAATAAATTATTATTTTTTACTGATATTCATTATTGATACTATTTAATATCACAATCTCATACCGCTGCCAGATTCTTTTTTAAATAACGCCTACTGTAAGAATCAATGATCACTGGTCCGTAGGACCTACCTTTTGACCGGGACCTCTTTGCGTGGACCAGGAGCTGCATCTGGACTGGTTCTGGCTCTTACCACTACTTTCTACCCCCTCTACTGCTCGTCGGGCCCCAGTATACGAATTCTTATTCATCAAGAACACCTGGGAGGGACAGCTAGACTTGTCAAGCTGGAGTGTCCGGGTACATCTACATTGATCGAGATTAACCCGTAAGATACAAGTGCTGGCGAAGGGCCAATCCAAAAACGTTGGTACAGTTATGTTCCATAACGAATTGAAGGTCATGATGGCAAACAAGTGAGTATGAATCTTGTTCACGATGACGACGAGGAGAACCAGGAATAACAGCATGAAGGAGACCCTCAACTTCCTGTTGTAGTTGCCCAACATCTGTCAAGGCAAGAAATAGTTCTGTTACCTTATTATTTTAACTGTTAAAAATAACTGTTTGAAATGGGGAATAGTACAGCAACAGCAGTTACCTTAATTTCTTTTTTTCACGAACGTAAATTAGAACATCTGCTGGGACTCTCCTGCTTATTACGGGTGCTTTGCGGAAACAAAATAAGATGTAAATTATTTACAGGGAATAAAATATGTAAGCCTGAGCTGGGATGAGGATATCGTCAAGCATTCGAAAATTTATTTAGTAGCAACCCGTCTGTTCCAATGGACGGGAGGAAGAAGCGCAGGGTGTTATTTTAAAGTGTTTTTAAACGAGGCTCGGCTGTTTTGAGAGTAAATATCCCGTAATGGACCCCTTGACGTCACTCATCAACTGCCCTCACTACACCTTAGCAATTTCTCTAATAAGAATTTGCAGCACAGGCAATAGTTATACTTTGTACAATGTGGGGTTTGCAGCATATGTTGTGAACTGTATGTTTGGTGGCCCGGTGAACTGTATGTTGGGTGGCCCGGTGAACTGTATGTTGGGTGGCCCGGTGGCCTGGTGGCTAAAGCTCCCGCTTCACACACGGAGGGCCCGGGTTAGATTCCCGGCGGGTGGAAACATTTCGACACGTTTCCTTACACCTGTTGTCCTGTTCACCTAGCAGCAAATAGGTACCTGGGTGTTAGTCGACTGGTGTGGGTCGCATCCTGGGGGACAAGATTAAGGACTCCAATGGAAATAAGTTAGACAGTCCTCGATGACGCACTGACTTTCTTGGGTTATCCTGGGTGGCTAACCCTCCGGGGTTAAAAATCCGAACGAAATCTTATCTTATCTTATCTTATCTTGGCTGTAATAATGCCATTATGTATGGTGTGTTTATTTTCTGTATTGGGGTTGTGATATTTGGAGTTTATTGTTAATATCCAGTATTATGATTCATTTTATTATACTTTTATAACTTCTTGTTTTGTCCAGTGTTTTAAATAAATATAATATATAATATATATATATATATATATTTATTTATATATTTTATATAAAATATATATATATATATATATTTATATTATATATTTATATATATATATATATATTTATAATATATATATAAGAATTTGGCTCAAGGATGTCTCTGGTCAAACATTTAAAGATTTCATATTATATGTAATTTGTAATGGCATGACAAAACAATATTAAAGATAAGAATGAGCAAAGTATCT